GGCCGGCCGCGCTGGCCCGACGGCCGCAGGTCCGCGTCCGGGCCCGCTCTGCAGCCGGTCTGAGCCCCGCGCAGCTCACTCCCAGCCCTTCCCTCACTCCAGCGCGCCCCGGGGCAGCTTCTCCGCGAGATGCTGGGGCTTTTGAAGCGCCCGGTGGTGGTGACTGCCCACATCAACCTGACCGTGGTGGCGCTGACGGCCGCCGGGCTGCTGAGCCGGCTGTGGCGCCTCACCTACCCCCGGGCCGTGGTGTAAGTGGGGGCCCTCAGCGTGAGCCCAGGCCCTGGGGCCTTTGGCGCAGCTTGGGCGGGGCGGGCAGCGCTGTCCCCAGGCAGGTGTGTCTGGCCCCAGCGTGGCCCCTGCAGAGCCCCGTTCCTGCCTGCCCATCGCGGGGTGCAGGAGCCGAGGCTGAATGAAGTGGGAGCTCATGTCTTTGAGCCCGAAGTGCTGTCACGATGGGAAACCATGGCGGTCGGGACTCCGGGGCGGCCGCCCTCCCCTGATGAGGCCGCCCTCCCCTGATGAGGCCGTGTGCTCCCCACTTTCTGGGGTGGAAGGCGCCAGACTGGCCCACAAGTGCTGGAATGGACTCCATTCCCCGGTCCCCCTCCCCGACCCCTCAGAGGCCCCCCCGCCCCCCCACCACGGTGGTTTGCTTTTAACGAAGTCAGGAATTTGTGAGCTGGCTCGCGGCCACACCACCCCGTGGCATAAACCCGAGGGCCGTGGCAGCCACGGCTTTGCCCGAGCAGCTGTCCTGAGGGGGCATTTTTTGCGTTTCTCCCCTTGACACCCGTTTCTCTGGGGCACCAGGTCCCGGTCCACTCAGATGCAGATGTGCGGGAGGGTCAGACCCCGTCCCGTGAGGCCACTCAGGAAGTGGGCTCGTAGTGCACCCCTAAATCAAAAACCAGGCAGGCAGTCGGTGTCGGCAGTGTTCCTGAGGCCCAGCTGGGTGGGTTCTGGTGGGTTTTTCTTCCGTCCTCATGGTGGAGGACGGCTTGGGCCAGACAGGGCGGCTGGGGCTGGTCAGGGTCGAGCTGGCTGTGCTCGCCCGGCCGGCGTGGGGGGTCGAGTTTCCAGTGGAACGTGGTGCGGGTTGTGCTTTTGCAGCTTTGACGAAGTGTACTACGGACAGTACATCTCCTTCTACATGAAGCGGGTCTTCTTCCTGGACGGCAGCGGGCCCCCGTTCGGCCACATGCTGCTGGCCCTGGGAGGTAGGACGCCTCCCCGGGAGCTGCCGGCCGAGCCGTCGGGTTGCTTGCAGCGGCCGGCTCCTCTGGAGGGTTCGCTGAACGGCCGGCTGCTGACGCGCCTTTGTTGTAGGTTATTTAGGGGGATTCGACGGTAACTTCTTGTGGAACAGAATTGGAGCAGGTGAGACGCCCTTTCGTTTCCCACGTCCGTTTGCGTCTGGCGGCGGGGCGGTGTCTTTCAGGCGCAGAGCACCGCGGGGCGGGCTCCGCAGTCCAGGGGCGGCCTCGCCTGGGTGGTGGGAAGAGCCGCCGCGCCCACTGCCCGCTGGCGCCTCCGCTGCTGAGGGCTTCACCGGGTTGGGCACCAGGCGCCTCACCGCAGACCCGCACGGCCGTCCTGTGTGCGCCCTCCGGGTGTCCACAGAGTCTCGGCAGTAGACGGGGTGAACTCGCGCAGGGGTGCGTCTCAGAGCCCCGCGGCGGCGCCCCGCTTTCTGAGAGCTGGTTTCCGAGCCCCTCCTGCGGTCTGGCCGCCACAGCCCCAGCCTGGCAGCACAGCCACTGCCCTCACGGGGGCGTGCCCGGCCCTGGAGCCCGCTCTCTGCCTGCCCTGCAGAATACAGCAGCAACGTGCCCGTGTGCTCCCTGCGCCTGCTGCCCGCGCTGGCCGGGGCGCTGTCGGTGCCCCTGGCCTACCAGATCGTGTGGGAGCTGGGCTTCTCCCACGGTGCCGCTGTGGGGGCCGCCCTGCTGCTGCTGATAGGTGAGCGCTGCCCCGGGGGCCGAGCCCCCGTTCAGACCTTCCGGGGAGCTGCGGGGGGCGGGCGTTCCCTCACAGAATGCGCTCCCCACTCCCTGCACGGCTGCCAGGCCTCGGCCGGTTGAGACGGACAGGGAGCCGCTGGGTAGGCGGGGGGCCCGACACCCCATGCGGTCAGGGAGCCGCTGGGTAGGCGGGGGGCCCGACACCCCATGTAGTAACATCCTCAGCTACGCTCGCACTGTCGCTTCTGCGAGAGACAGGCGCGGCCAGGGAGGCTCACCCTCACCGAGCAGCTGCCCGCGTGCTCCTGGGCCCGGCCCCTTCCGGCACTTGCTGTGCGGTGGTGCCCGGGACGTGTCCCCTGCTCGGGGCGCCCCCACCACCCCCGTGCCTTTGCAGAGAACTCGCTGATCACTCAGTCGCGGCTGGTGCTCCTGGAGTCGGCGCTCATCTTCTTTGACCTGCTGGCTGTGCTGTCCTACCTCAAGTTCTCCAGCGCCCAGAGACACAGGTGCGGGCGCGGGACGTAGGTGTCCTGGGCCTCGAGCGGAGAGGCCTGGTGCCGGCCCGTGGGGCGGGCTGCTCGCTGGAAGCGCCCCTGCTCACCTGGGGGGGCCCTGAGCCCACGAATCTGCCCTCGCTTCTCCGGCCTAAATCAGCTAGAGAAGGTTCTAGCTGAAAGGAATTCTGGCGGGCCGATGTTGGGGGTGTCCCGGTGCCCGCGCGGGGCCGGGCATGGCCCTGCTGGCAGCAGGCGTCCTCGCTGGCCTTGCAGCCTCGCCTGTTCTGCGTGTCCCCAGGCCCTTCTCCCTGAGCTGGTGGTTCTGGCTGACGCTGACCGGAGTGGCCTGCTCCTGCGCCGTGGGGTGAGTGCCGCCGACCGGGCCCCAGCCGCCCACGGCTTCCTGTGGCGTCTCACTCGGCCTTCCCCTGAACCGTGTCTCTTCAGCGTCAAGTACATGGGCGTCTTCACATACCTGCTGGTGCTCGGGGCCGCGGCCGTGCAGGCCTGGCACCTCGTGGGCGACCGGACCTTGTCCAACGTAGGTGCTGCCGTGGGCCGTGCAGCCGGGCGCGGGTGGGGGCGGCCCCACGGGAGCTGCAGCGCCCTCTCCCTGCAGGTGCGTGTGCTCTGCCACCTGCTGGCCAGAGCCGGGGCCCTGCTGGCCGTCCCCGTGGCCACGTACCTGCTGTTCTTCTATGTCCACCTGAGGCTGCTCTACCGCTCTGGGCCCCACGACCAGATCATGTCCAGTGCCTTCCAGGCCAGCTTGGAGGTAAGACGTGGGCGCTGGCGGGAAGGGAGAGCGCGCCGCGCCGGGTTCCCTCTGTGAACAGCGCCAGGCGAGTGCTGGCGACGCCCTGAGGGGAGAGGCAGCCGCGGGCGAGTCCTCCACACACTGACCGTGCGGATGGCAGCAGGGCTGGCCGCCCGGCGGACCACCAGCCCCCAGGACAGCGGTGGCAGAGCCTCAGGCCGTGACGGGGCCAGAGCTGCCGGCCGCGCGGGCGACCCCGCTGTGCTGCTTGTCAGGGCAGCCGCTGCCCCAGCCGGTCGGCGGGCGGAAGGGGAGCCGGGCGGGTGTGGACGGAAGAGCCCAGCGCGCCGCCCCACAGGGGGCAACTTCCGGGGGGCCACAGCCCCAGTGGTATGGAGACAGCAGGGCCGGCCCGAGGCGGCCACTCGCGCCAACGCGGCCTCTGTCTCAGGGAGGCCTCGCCCGGATCACGCAAGGCCAGCCGCTGGAGGTGGCCTACGGCTCCCAGGTCACGCTGAGGAGTGCCTTCGGCAAGCCCGTGCCCTGCTGGCTCCACTCGCACCAGAGCACCTACCCCGTGATGTGAGCCCAGCGTCCCGGTCGCGCAGCTTCCCCGGGGGGGGTCCCGGCGGCGCCCGGCTCTGCCCCTTGAAACTGCTGACGTTTGTCCTGATCTTCCCCGAACACCTTGCTGGGGAGTCCTGGGAGCGGTGTGACCCCACCTACCCTCTTGCAGGTACGAGGACGGCCGAGGCAGCTCCCACCAGCAGCAGGTGACCTGTTACCCCTTCAAAGACGTCAACAACTGGTGGATGGTGAAGGACCCCGGGAGGTGTGCAGCCCCCCCCGCCCCCGGCTCCCTGTGGGGCGCACTCTGTGCTCTGGGCACGAGTGACCTGCAGGCTCCATCTCTTCCCCGCCTCCCACTCCCTGCAGACACACACACCAGCCCTCTGGGAAGCCTCTTGCTGGGCCTCCCTCCTCCAGGCCTCCAGTTGCACCAGGCTTCCCTCCCCCTCCCCAAGGTCGGCTCCCCTCAGCCTTCCCCTCCCCTGTCCAGCTGTCCCGGCCGAATGGTCTTTGAAAATGCAGCAGACGCAGGTCGCCTCCACCCAGGCCCTGCGCAGTCTCCATAGCCCTCGGCCCTGCGCTGTGGCCTGCGGCCCCACGGGCTGGCCCGGCCACCCCAGCAGGACAGACTTCCGCGCGCCGTCCGGGCTGGGACGGTCATCCTGACTCGAGGCCCAGCTTCTCCACTGTCCGCTCGGGCAGTCGTGGGGGCAGCGACCCTGCCTGGCTGTCCCTCCACCTGCTTCGGCGCTCAGGGCCCCCATCAGCCTTCACGAGTGCGTGTTGAGGGACGGGTGGTCCTGGCGAGCAGCCCCGCATGTGGGGAGTGACTGGGTTTCCAGAGAGCCAGCGCAGGAGCGCCTCCAGACCAGCTGCGCAGACCCCCACGTGAGCACTTGGGGCCCCGGGAAGCCGGCGCCACCCACCTGCACCCCATGTCTTCCAGGCACCAGCTGGTGGTGAGCAGCCCCCCGAGACCCGTGCGGCACGGTGACATTGTGCAGCTGGTCCACGGCATGACCACCCGCGTCCTCAACACGTGAGTGTCCCCGAGAAGCGGCTGGTGCCCGTCACGGGGGCAGGGTGGCCGATGTGCTCTCTGCAGGGAAGCGGGGGCTGCCCCCAGCTCGGGGAGCCCGCTGCCGCGGCCCGCACCCGCCTGCCGGCTCCGCGGAGGCCTTCCCACAGCTCCTGCGCCCCTTCCCGGCGCCAGGCCTGCCGCCTGCCGGCCTCTGCTGAAGCGCGGCCTCTGGGTTTCCACTGGCTCCCACCCATGGTCACACCAGCAGGAAACCCTGTGGTCTTGGGCTTCAGAACTGACCCCTGCCGAGGCCACGCTTCCTCTCCCTCCCCTCCAACACCCACCTCTGCCTGTGCGCCTGGAACCGGTTCCCTGACCGCTCCCGGCAGCCCCTCACCCACCAAAAAGTCTCTTGGCCCTCCAGGGTGACCGGCGGCGCCCTGCTCCCAGTCAGCCCACCCCCGCGCCCCATCCCCTTGGGCCTCGCTCTGACGGCTGCTGCTGGCGTCCAGGCCTTGCCCGCTGCTGCCAGGCCAGAGTGCGGGCCGCGGGCACCGAGGCCGCGGGCCTGAGGCAGGACGCAGAGGGAGCAGCGCGCCTGCCCACAGGCCCGGCCTTGGCCTTGCAGGCACGACGTGGCGGCCCCCCTGACGCCCCACTCGCAGGAGGTGTCCTGCTACATCGACTACAACATCTCCATGCCTGCGCAGAGCCTCTGGAGGCTGGTGAGTCCGGCACGGTGCGTGGCCTGGGCGGCTGGGCCGCCGAGCCAGGGGCGGAGCGAGCTGGGTGGGCTTTGGGATAAAAAGGTCCTAAGCGTTTTCTCAAGAAGAGATGCCCCCGCCAGGGGCCCGAGGCCCTGGGTGTCTCTGTGGCCAGGCGCTCTGGTCAGCCTGCCCAAGCCCCGCTGTAGCCACAGCCCCGGGTCATGCCCGTGGCCTCCCGATGACCCCGGGCCCCTGGGCTCCAGCTGGGGCAGCTGGTTCTCAGCGGGTGAGGCTCGCCGGCCGTGCCCGCCGGGCGGGGTCTGTGCCCTGGCCTCTGCTCAGCCGCTCACACAGTCCCCCAGTGCCCAGCCTGGTGGGGTGTGTGCAGCTGCCCCGCGGGAGCCTTGGGTGGGTGCCGAGCTGCAGGCCCACCAGGCCCGGCTGGCTGTGCCCGGCCCGGCCCCGCGCACGCCCCGCCCGCTAGCAGCACCTTCAGCCCAGGCTCCCACATTCCAGGGACTGGTGCTCAGGGAACAGCCAGGGCGAGGCGGGCCCTGTGCTCTCCCACTGGGCCCCGGGTCCTCTGGCCCCTCGGGGCCGTGTGACTTCTGGGTCCAGTGAGTTGAGCGAGGACGAGCCGACGCTGGCCAGGTGTCTTGTGTTATCACCCGCGGTCAGGACCTCAGGGCAGGCAGTCTCGGGTGGCCTGCCCTCCCCCGTCCCCTCCTGCCCTCCCCCGTCCCCTCCCGCGCCCAGGTGTGCTGAGGCGCGCCCAGCCCCCCACGGCACAGCCCCCCACGCCCCGGAGGCTGCAGGAGCCGCCCTGCCTGTCCCACCTGCCCCTGCCGGCCTTGGCATCCAGGGCCCTGCCAGCCCCTGGGGGCTGGTCCCTCCACGGACCGGTGACGGTCTTGGCCTCCACGGTGAGGAGTGAGGGGAGTGACGGCCGCCCGGCTCGCGCAGGACATCGTGAACAGGGAGTCGGACGCGGAGGTCTGGAAGACCATCCTGTCGGAGGTCCGCCTGGTGCACGTGAACACGTCTGCTGTCCTCAAGGTGAAGGCTCCGCTGGGCTGGGCCCTCTGGCCGTGGGCTCCCGGTGTCCACGCAGGGCCCTGGCTGGGGGCTCCCCGGGGGTGCCCCGGGGGCTCCTGTGGCCCCGGCTTTGCCGTCACCGCTACCTCCCTTGGTTTGGACAGCTGAGTGGGGCGCACCTCCCGGACTGGGGCTTTCGGCAGCTGGAGGTGGTGGGGGAGAAGCCGCCGCGGGGTCAGCACGGGAGCACGGTGTGGAACGTGGAAGAGCACCGCTACGGCCAGAGTGAGTCGGGCTGGGGCCAGGGCGGGCTCGGGGCCCCTCCGAGCACCCCCACCCAGAGAGGCCGAGGGCTCGTCGGCGGTGGGCCGATCGGAGCTTTCGGTCTCCTCGCCCGGGAGTGCAGTCACGGGTGGGGGCTGACCGGGGCCCTCTGGCCGGGGCTGCGGGGGGGCTGCCTGGCCCCGGCCCCCCGCGCACGCTCTGCGGGGTTCTGGCGTGTTGTCAGGCCAGGAGCAGAAGGAGCGGGAGCAGGAGCTGCACTCCCCCACGCAGGTGGACATCAGCCGCAACCTGAGCTTCATGGCCCGGTTCTCGGAGCTGCAGGTGCGCCTGTGCGGAGGCCAGCGGGCTGCTCCGGGGTGGGGGGGCCCGGGCCGCACCCCACGGCGGCAGTGGCACCTAGAGAATCCGAACCAGTCCTGGTTGGAGTCCAAGTCCCGAGTCCAAGCAGGTGGAGCCCCGAGCGGGCTCCCCTAGGGTGCTCCCTCCCTCGCGGGAGGCCGGGGGTGGGGCTGGTGCCCACGCGGCGGGGCCGCCTGACCCGGGACTGGTGTGTGGCAGTGGAGGATGCTGACAGTGCGAAGCGACGAGTCTGAGCACAAGTACAGCTCCACGCCGCTGGACTGGCTCACCCTGGACACCAACATCGCTTACTGGCTGCACCCCAGGACCAGCGTGAGTCGGCGCCGCGGCCGTGGCTGAGCCCCACCCTTCCGTGACGCTGGCGGCCGGGGCCCGCCCCCTGGCAGGCCGGTGATGTGCGGGAGTGCCCAGCCCCTCCTGGCGGCCCCTGGGCCTGCCGTCCCCCTCCCGCGGCGAGCTCGCTGCGCCGGCCGGTCCGGGGACCCTGGGGCAGTGTTGGGGCCGGCGCCCACCTCTGCCCCGGCCCAGCGTGGCAGGGCGCCCGTGTGCCGGGGGGCGGGCCCCCCGAGTGCGTCGGTCCTTCTGCTGTGCGCCCGTGCAGAATGGCCCGAGGCCGCCTCCGAGGAGGCCTCAGCGCTGTGCCCGCCCCGCAGGCGCAGATCCACCTGCTGGGGAACGTCGTGATCTGGGCCTCGGCCGGCCTGGCCACCCTGGCCTACCTGCTGCTCTTCCTCTGGTACCTGCTCAGGCGCCGCCGGGGCATCCACGACCTGCCCGAGGGTGAGTCTCCCGCGCCGGCCCGCCCACCCCGCGGAGGGCCCCTCGGGGCCGCACGGGCCTGGCTGCCGTCTCCTGTCCCCACGTTGCCCCAGTCGCTCTGCAGGGAGCACGGCGAGTGCTGTGTGGGGCCCCTGCCACCCCGCGGGTGCAGCCAGGTGCTCAAGGAGCCCTCAGCACAGGGCGGGAGGGGAGGCAGGGCGCCCGCAGGCGGGTGGCTGCGGGGCTGGGCCGCCCCCTCCCTGCCGCCTGCCTCTGGGGTCTGCCAGGGCCAACTCAGTGGCCCTGGAGCCTGACCCAGCTGGCCAGGTACCCCACTGGTAGGCACACGGGACTGACCTGGGCCCAGGGCCGCCGTCTGCAGGGGGCAGCTGATGGAGCACCGAGCTTTAGGCCGGTGGGGCCGCAGGCCCGGGCGGGGCAGTGACGCCGGCCTCTCCCCAGGAGCCTGGCTGCGCTGGGTGCTGGCCGGGACCATGTGTGCCGGGGGCTGGGCGGTCAACTACCTGCCCTTCTTCATGATGGAGAAGACGCTCTTCCTCTACCACTACCTGCCGGCACTCACCTTCCAGATCCTGCTCCTCCCGGTGCTCCTGCAGCACATCAGTGAGCACCTGTGCAGGTAGGGGCCGCTGCGGCCCCAGGTGGGGCGCACCGTTCAGTGGGGCCAGGGGCTGGGTGGCTCAGTCTGCAGGAGGGGTGGGCGCCGAGAGGCGGCGTCGGGGCTACGCGTGGATGGGCCGTGGCTGGGAAGGCGGGACGCTCTTCCGGACACCGGCCCGCAGCACCTCCAGGCGGACTCAGCCTCTTGTCCTGTGGCGTGACGGGATGGCTTGGGGGCATTTCAGAGCAGAAGGTTCTAGCAGCAGGCGAGGTGGCCAGGGAAGGCCCTCGGCAGGCGGGGGGGCGGCCGGGAAAGACGGCACCGAGCCCACGCTGCACACAGGTCCCGACCCCAGAGAAGCCTCTTCCACGCCCTGGTCGTCGCCTGGTTCTCGGCCGCCTGCCACGTCTTCAACACGTTGCGCCCGCTGACCTACGGGGACAAGCCACTATCCCCCAGCGAACTCAAGGCCCTGCGCTGGCGAGAGAGCTGGGACATCTTGATCCGGAAATACTAGCAGGACACAGACGGCTCGGCGGGAGGCCTGACCGGGGCGGCTGTGTCCTCCTTCCCGGCCACCAACAGGCCCTTTGGGTCATCGCTCCCCAAGCCCCGGGCCCAGCCACACACGGTGCGTCTGGCCTAGCATCCGACTCACAGCAGAGAAAGACAGGAAGGCAGGGCACCCCCCTCGCCCCACCCCCGTGACACGGCGGCAGCGCCCTGGACACAGCCGCTCGGGCCCAGTGACGGGCCTGCAGTCAGCGCTCAGCCCTGCCGCGAGGACTGGCTCGTCCGCCACTGACCCGAGACCCTCCCAGGTCCTTCCGCTGACACGTGGGCACGGTCACCGTGGACTCATACTGTGCCGGACTTCTCACAAACACAATCAGAACAAGGACAATTTTTTGAAACTGTGTAGTTGCTGTTGTTTATTCTCTTCCCCAAAGGGCACCTTAGGTCATAGAAAACTGTTAGTGCCTCAGAGCCCACGCTGCGCGTGCCGGCAGCCGGCCTCGAGCGCGGCCGCGGGCGGACTGGGGAGCCGGGGGGGAGCCGGCTTCGGGGGCCACACGCTGAGCAGAGGCTGCGCTGCACGGGCCAGCCTGGGGGCCCAGGCGAGCGGGAGACCCCTTCTGCACTTGATGTTGGTCACTGCAGCCCCCTAGACCCGCAGGTCTGACAGGCCGGCCAGCCAGCGGTCACAGCACAGCGGCGTGCGGAGCCGAGACCAGGCGGCCCTGGGTGTCCACGCGAGAAAGCAAACACCTGCCCGAGGCTTCAGCTCTGGAGAAGCACTTCCCGTGGGCTCACCGTTGAACCCCGCAGCCCTGCACCCCGACAGGTGCCTCGGCGCCCCTGACCTGCCCCGCACTCCGTCCGCATTCGGTGGCCAGTGACCTGGACTCCTGTCTCCCGGCGTGAGGCAGGCGCCCCGGTGACTGAAGGCCTCGGGTTGCCCTGGCTGGGGGCGCGGCTGTGACTGCAGGTTGGCGGGCACCCCCCCCAGGCCCCGAAAGTGTCTATCGGGGCCCTCGGGCGACACCCGCTCCTCAGTGGGGCCGGCTGCTTGACTCCAAGTGCGACCGTTTGCCCGTGGCCAGCACCCCAGGATGGCCCCCCGGCTCGGGGAAGGTCCTCTTGCAGCTCCGCCCGTTGGTGCCCCCCCGATGCCACCTGCAGAGGTCGCCGCTGAGGATGTCCTGGATGTGCTGCACGATCAGGTTGATGGCGACTGTGGAGACAAGGTGGGTGAGCGGTGGCGCCCACGGGCTCCGGGCCAGGGCGCGGGCACGGGGCCTGCGGGCACAGCTGTCTGTGGGCCCCAGCTTGGCTGCGCGGGCACCATGGGACTCGGCTCCCTGACTCCAGGGTCCAGCTGAGGGGTGACTGGCACACGGCGCGGTGCCCAGACAGCGTGCAGCGGGGATCCTCCGCACACCTGAGACCCGTGCCACCAGTGGGCCTGCAGGCCTCACACTCGGGGCTTCTTGAGGAGGAGGTGGGGCCCGGACACCCCGCCGTGGGCCACCTCGGGCCCGTCCTCACCCATGTTGTCAACCCCGCGCGGGATGATCACGTCAGCATACTTCTTGGTCTGCGAGGCAAGAGGGGCGTCGTAAGGCTCTGTGCAGGGAGCTGCCCGGAGCCAGCGTGCCTGGGGGTCCCTGGTCGATACGGGGCAGAGCGAGAGGCACCCAGAAGAGCCGGTGTGGTGAGGGTCCTCGATCCTGCTCTTTCCCATGAACCCATCCTGGGGGCAGCAGCGCTCCGGAGCCAGCTCTGGGGCCGCAGCGACACCCGCCCCACCGGCACCTCCTGGGGTTCGGGCCCTGGCAGGAGGCCGGACTGGTGGGCCCCGCTGAGTGGCTGCGCCCCCCGCTGAGAAGCCCCTCCGGCTTCTACTGTGAACCACCAACTGGCCAGATGTCGTTACGGGTGACAGACTGACAACTTCTCTAATTACTTTCCAGGAACTTCCGAGAACATGAATGTTTTTAAAAAACAGGGCTCTTTAAATAGCAGCACAGAGCTCATCTACCCCAGTTTCCTGAAGCAGGAGCCCGGGCCCGGTTCCTCTGTGCTGTCTCTAAGCACAACACACGGTCCTGCTTCCTTCAGCCCCCGCGGCCGACCGAGCCGGGGCGGGGGGCAGGGGAGGGAAAGCCCCCCACCACGCGCACCCCCCGGCCCCAGGCTGAGCCTGGCAGGCGCACGGCCGTCCGCTGAGTGTCCCCACATGCAGCCTCTGGGCCGCGGACGGGCAAAGCACCCACTGAGTTGAGCCCCGGGCGGAGAGCAAAAGGTGCCCCCCTGAGACAGAGCAGGGCAGCGGCGGGGACCCGGGCTCTCCCAGGCAAGGGGGCGCACGTGCAGAGGGCGCGGGGGGCCAGCGCACCGGCAGGCAGAACTCCTCGAAGGCCGGCTTCACGAAGGTGGTGTACTGCGTCAGGATCTGCTCCAGGTCCCGCCCGCGCTGCACGTCCCGGAGCACTGCGGCGACAGGACAGGCTCCTTCAGCCCCCGCGGGGCGGCCGCTGACGGCAGCGGCCGGCGCCCGCCTTACCTCTCCGGGACAGCCTGACGTCGGAGTCGGTGTCCACGAAGAGGCGCAGGTGGAACATGTCCCGGATGTCCTGGCTGTAGAACACCAAGATGCCCTCAAACAGGACCACGTCCGCCGGGTAGACCACCGTGGTCTCTGGCAACCTGCGAGGCGGGGCCGAGAGACGGGCTGCCGGGGCCCAGCACTGACCGGACAGGATGGGGGGAGGGGCGCCCGGGACCCCGACGTAGGGCCTGCCCGCACCCTGGCCGGCTCCCCGCCTGCAGCCGCCCCCAGGAGCCGCCTGCTCACCTGGAGTGGGTCACAAAGTCATAGGTGGGCACCTCGACAGTCTTGCCCTCCACGATGTTTTTCAGAGTCCTGTGCATCAGGTCGTTATCAAAAGCATCTGCGGGGACGGCGACAGCACAGTGTGGGTGGCCTTGCGCCGGGGGGCGGAGGTGCGGGTGCCATGGCTGGGTGCGGGGGCCAAGGACCCCAAGGAGCATCTGCAAGTGGCAGCGTGGCCTGTCCGGGCTGCCCTGGGGCAGCAGCTACACTCAGGCCGCTGTCCTGGAGGTCCGGACACGGGGCCAGCGCTGGGAGAGCGCCTCGGTCCCCCTCTACTTCTGGGTTTCTTCCGCGCCCGGGGACAGCTGAAGATGGAGCCCGCCCCGCGCTGGGGTCTAGCAGTGGCGGGCAGGCGCCGTGTGGCTCACTGCCCCCAAGGCCCTGCCACTCCACCTCCACCGGTGCCCCCAACCAGGCAAGGAAACAAGCTGCCCTCAAGGGCCCCAGGGCAGGCATGGACACAAAAGGCTGGTGGGCAGTGGGGTATGCCCTGAGCAGCAGAGTGGGCAGGAGTGGACACACCGATGAGCAGTCGGTACTCGGGGCCCCTGAGGGGCTTCCTGACGGGCTCCAATTGGCCAGCAGCCCCTGCCTGGCCGCCCGGAGCCTGGGGCCTCGGGCAAAGCCCACAAGCTAATGGGGGAACTTTGTCCCCTTCAAGTCAGGGTGTCCAGATCTACCTGGGTGGTCGAAATTGTACTGTCCCTTCAAGGCCTTGGCCTTCTGTTCCGTGGTCAGGACCTTATAGAAACGGTCTTGGCTCAGAATGACCAGCTTCCGCTGCCTGTGGTCCACTTCGTTCTGTCCCAGCAGCTCCATGATCTTCTCGCACACAGTGGACTGGCAGGCAG